CAGAAGAGGCTTAGTAACCTTTCATTTCAGGGACTGGGGATTTACTCCTGCTACTATAGTGTCTGTCTCTGTTTATCAGTTTGGAACAATCATCATCATGTTGTCATAAGACTGAGAAAAAGAAAACTTGATCAATGTTTTAAAAACTGACAAGACTTCTGTTGCACTGAACAATCTCCCAGAAGATACTATTCATTTTAATATAAAATGTAGCAGATCTACATATCTGAATAAAAAAAGATACCAGCAAAGAGGATATACAGCTGTAATAAACCTTATTTAAACATACATTAATGCAAATATCAGTCTGTTGCAAGTATACTTTTTTGATTAAATTGGCATACATCAAGTACAATTAAAAAGGTTATTTACAAGGAAGAAATACATAATTCTGCATCTTAACGGGTATGACAATCATAGATAATGGTTGCTAATTAACATACTTCTTTTGCTTTGGCTGTTAGATATTTCCTTTATTATTTATTTTTGACAATGGAAATAACTACTTCTAGAAGGTTCAAAAGGGTTAATTATTAATAACGTGCTTATAACACATTCATTGAGAAACAAAAGGCAATCTGCCTTAGAAAAGACAATGGAGATGATTCAGATGTGGTGAGATACAGCTTTTATTATTTTATTCTTTGAATATATGTAGAAGTATCCCATATCCTTCCATGTACAATTGTAAAGAAAAACCCAGGCATGGCAAAACCATCTTTCTCACAGTGTAGGTTGTTAATTATTCTCTCTGCGGACTGTCGATATAATGTGAAATTTTCATTCCCCATTCAACATGGAAAAAGTTGTGGCTGAAAATGTTAACATTTGCATTTTTATTTGTTGATTTATTTAAAGGACAGCCTCTTCTACAGCAATCCATCACTTAGTGACACCCCAAATATGAATAATGTATTGTATACTTGTGGTTACAATGTGTAATAAGTGCTAGAGACAGTAAAGGAATGTTAACTATGTTGCAAATGTAATATTTATCGACTCATAAAGTTTATTGCTTTTGAGGTTCAATAATACTGACCATAGGACATTAATATCACTTATCCTGATTTTAGATAGGCACCTTTGTATGTATCTATCTCATGCTAACAAAACAAATATACAATTTACAGCACAAGCAAAGAGGACATTAGAGTCTACCATGTGGAAGGCTGCAGTGCTTCTTTCTCCCTGTTTTACTTCTGGCTTCCAGCACTAATCACATAACCCCAAGCTGTCACGGGTAGTAAAGGCAATTGTCACATTGGCAAGAGAAGGTGGCAAGACTTTTCTAATGGGTGCTGTTTCTTTCCTCTTGATTAGTGCAGGCCACTGCACCTAGAGAGAGGTCTGCTAGGTCTTATTCTCTTCTTGGAATTTAGGGTAGAGAGAATAAGGGTTATTTCCTCACAATCTCTTCAGTACCTTTAAAGCTTTGTTGGGAGGAAGACCTGTAGTTTGCCCATAACTGAAAAGCAGTCCATAAAAATGCCTTCTGTACATTTTAAAATAAGAATAATTCAAATAATACTGACTTTTAAGTTTGTAAAGAAACCACTTTGCTATTCTAGTAACTGATTTTCATAGTACTGAATCTTTTTTGAACTCTGCACTTTGTATAATTGATCTATAATATGCCATTGTGCATTTGTAAGGATAAAAATTTGGTATGCTATGCATTGTTTTATTTAGCCAAAAACTCATTATCTAGAAAGCTTCTAAGAACCTATATTTAGCTGATATGCAGTTTTAAAGAATAAAGATTTTCAAAAATCTGTAACTATGAGTCTTCACAACAACTTTAACCTGGGCTTGTAAAACTCCACTAACTTGTTACTGGGCTTGTAAAACTCTACTAACTTGTTACAGCTCATCAGAAACTTTGAGCTGAGGACATTTTATAAAACATGATGGGGAAACATTTTATTCCTCTCGTTTTTATGCTTCTTTCTAAAGTATATTAAATAAGTGTTAAAGATCTCATTTTAAACCTTAACAATAGAAAAAAAAATCACTGAATCCATATAATAATTCTATTTTATTTCTTACTTCTCCAACGTGAACTAGATAGAAACTCTCTGAGCAAAGCTTTCAACCACAAGGTTAAATGGGCCCATACATTATTTGGTATCACAGCTAATGGGTCTTTGGCAAATGCCAACAAAGAGTAGCTTCTCATTGGATTATGGGTAGCCACCACAATAGGGAGGTTGTCATTGTCAACTATTGTACTATTTAAGATGATAGCTTTACCAGAAATGGTGGCTCAAATGGTAGTGCTAGCATTGAGCAAAAAAGCCCAGGCTCTGAGTTCAAGCCCCTAAGACAGAACAAAGAAGAAAAAGAAGAAGGAGGAAGAAGGAGGAAAAAGAAGAAAAAGAAGGAGGTGGAGGAAGGCTTTAGAGTCTGTAATAATAGCTTTTTCTTCCTTTTTGCTGTGTGATCTTAGATGAATTACTTGATTCCTTGGGGTCTTAGTTTCCTAGTTTTAAAAATGGGAATGATGGCAGCATTATTTGAAAAGATACAATCAAATAAAATAATATTCATTAATGAGCATTATCTGGAAACATGGTAGATACTTAAGAGACACCAATCATTATTATTATCCTCTGTTACAGAGAGTTACTTCTAAAAGGCTTTTCAATGCTACCTTCTACCTCCAGTATTAAAGGCATACTGATGAGAGCCATGACTAGAATGAACACTAGCTCTTAAGGATGGCTATCTTTTGGCCAATAGACACATGAAGAAATGCTCAACCTCCCTAGCCAGAAAAGAAATGCAAATCAAAACAACATTGAGATACCACCTCACCCCAGTTAGAATCGCAATAATCAAGAACTCTAATAACAACAGATGCTGGAGGGGATGTGGACAGAAAGGAACCTTACTTCATTGTTGGTGGGAGTGTAAACTTGTTCAACCACTTTGGAAAGTAGTATGGAGGTTCCTCAAAAGACTTCACATAGAGCTCCCCTATGACCCAGCAATCCCACTTTTGGGCATTTACCCAAATGTTTACAAACAAGACCACACTAAAGCTACCAGCACAACTATGTTTATTGCAGCATTATCTACCATAGCTAAGATCTGGAACCAACCCAGATGTCCCTCAGTAGATGAATGGATCAAGAAAATGTGGTATATATACACAATGGAATTCTATGCCTCCATCAAAAAGAATGCCATTGCCCCATTTGTTAGGAAATGGAAAGACTTGGAAAAAATTATATTAAGTGAAGTAAGCCAAGCCCAAAGAAACATAGGTCCCATGGTTTCCCTTATTTGCAAAAACTAGTATATGTATGAGTCAAGCAGAAAAGGTCAGATAAGGTGATGTTAGGGAAAGGAACCTTTAGATATGTATTTAAATGTTTTTTTTTCTTTCATGCATTTGTTTCTAACGCAATTATAAGATTATTTCTTTGTTGCTTTGTATGTCCCTCCCCCACAGTATAACCCCTGCTTTCACTGTATTTGATGTCGGTATAATTTGTGGAGGGGAAGGGGGAAAAACAAGTCGTTTAAATAAGGATATAGGTGGACCCGTTGCAACAATGAGAAGTACAAGTTGTCATGTCGAAAACGAACTTTACAACTTTGGGGCGGGTGGGTGGGAGGATTGGGTGGGGGGGGGGCAAGGAGGAGGCTGGGAAGGGATATGAAGGGTAAACAAAGGAGGAGGCTACAATGCTTGATAAGAAATGTACTCATTATCTTGCCCATGTAATTGTAACCCCTCTGTACAGTACGTTCACAATAAAAAATAAAAATTAAAAAAAAAGGATAGCTATCTTTGACTTTTTGGGGGGATAGTATTTACATAGAAACTGGATGAAATACAACTCTTTTAGAGGAAGAGAAGTTAATGCTTTGCTCCCTTCCAAAATGATCACAAAACAAGCATAAACTTTATAGCATATGAGAGTAATAATTTGACATTTTACTTTGCAAATCCAATGGACTCTGAATTAACTACAAATTTAAGTATTAAAAATCTATATTCATCTGATAAAACACTTGAACTTAAGAACTCAAAACAAATCATATCCCAAAGGAAACAAAAACCAAGATCTATGGTGTTGATGTTTATATATTGAGATCATAAATACATAATTTTGGAGTTGTCTTATTAGATATAAGAAATTTTAAATAACATTATTTATTTCCCTGATTTGTGGAAAAGAAAATGAGTTACACTAATAATGTCCTGGTATAAGTAGATGTCAATATACTTTTTTTTTCATTTGGATATTATCCTTGTACTGGAGCCATGCTAATCTTTGCATTGTTCCAATTTTAGCAATTTTAGTATATGTGCTGTTGACACACTCAGTATACTTTTAACTAGTACAAAAGCCACTAGCATTGCCAAAACTAATTTGGTTACTTAAACTTACGGTCCAAACGTACAACCATTACATGACAAATGGGGAAGGACCTGATGTTAAGCAGATTTCTAAATAAAGGATAGGATTAGCTTTGAGTTTGTATGGAAATCCTTAACAAGTATTTTTTTTTTTTTATTTTATTTTTATTTTATTTTTATTTTTTTTATTTTTTTTTATTTAAAGTTTTTTTTTTATTTGTGTAACAGTAAACATTTCTTTTTTTTTTAAATTTAATTTAATTTTATTTGTGAACATACTGTACAGAGGAGTTACAGTTACATGGGCAGGATAATGCGTACATTTCTTACCAAGCATTGCAGCCTCCTCCTTTGTTTATCCTTCACATCCCTTCCCAGCCTCCCCCCTCCCCCCCTAATCCCATTCCTTCTCTTAACAAATATTTTTATTAAGTGAGTGTAAAGAAAACTCCATGTGATTTAACATGGCCAAATCTACTTTGTTCAAAGTAAGGACCTCTCAAATAAGAACCACTAAAAATCATCAAGATTTTTCTAATTATTATTTAAAAAATCTCAGAAGATTCTCCCATGAAAAGAATATTAATTCAAATATTTAATATTAAGTATTAAATAAAATCCATAAACTCACTGAGAGATGTTATGTTGGGATGATGAGGAGGCCGAGGTTACAAGCTCCTTTTGGCTTCTTACTAAGATAGGAGATGTAGATGCATCTTTTCTAACTTCTGTCACTTTTACTGTATGAACAATAAAGAAAATAATTAGTAATTTTATTCAAATACATTGAAACTGAACAACATATTATTGATGACCAGTGGACTACTGAAGAAATAGGAGGGAAATAGAAAAAAGTCTCTAAAATCTAATAAAAATACAACCTACAAGAATCTTTGGGATATAGCAAAGGCGGCCCTAAAAGGTAAGTTTGTAGGTCTAAGTAGTTACATCAAAACAACAGAAAACTCAAACTAATGCCCTAGTTATGAATCTTGTACTTCTTGAGAAACAAGAACAAGCCAAGCCCCAAATTAGCAGATGGAAAGAAATAATAAATAAGATGGCAGAAGTTAATGAAATGGAGACCTCAAAACTACACAAGGAATCAATGTTGGTTCTTCGTAAAAGTACATGAATTGATCAATTTTAGCCTATTTGACTGAAAGAAAAATGGAAAAGACCCACATCAAGCGGGGCACTGGTGGCTCATGCCTATAATCCTAGATACTCAGGAGGCACTAGGGGCAGGAAAGCCTGTGAAACTCTTATCTCCAATCCCCTACCAAAATTAAAAAAAAAAAAAAAAAAAGAAGAAGCCAGAAGTAGAGCTGTGGCTCAAGTGGTGAAGTGCTAGCCTTAAGCAACAAACCTCAGTATCCAGGTCCTGAGGTTAAGCCCAGGACTAGCCCAAAACAAAATAAAACAAACAACAACAAAAAAGATGACACTAACAAAATTAAGAGATAAAATTGGAGTATCACAACAAATACCAATGAAATCTAGAGGATTGTGAAGGCATACTTTAAAAAAACCTATAATCAAATACACTGGAAAAACGGAGAAGAACTAGATAATTTCCTAAATGTAGTTGACTTACCAAAATTAAACCAAGAAGATATAAACCAGTTAAATAATTTTAAAATAAGCAATGAGACTGAGCAGAATTAAGAGTCTCTCAACAAAGAAAAAGGGGAAAAAGAAAGAGGGGGAAGCAAAACTATAAACTTATTCTATGAAGCCAATGTTATATTCACTCCCAAACTAGAAAAGGGTAGAATTAAAATAAGGATCATAGAGCAAAAAAAGTATTTGCAAACTGAATTCAACAACACATTAAAACAACCAGATATTATGATCAAGTTATATCCAAGGATGCAAAGATGGTTCAATATACACAATGTATGTAATACATACATTGAGAGATGTTATATTGGGATGATGAGGAGGCCGAGGTTACAAGCTCCTTTTGGCTTCTTATTAAGATAGGAGATGTGGATGCATCTTTTCTAACTTCTGTCACTGTTACTGTATGAACAATAAAGGGAATAATTAGTAATTTTATTCAAGTACATAGAAACTGAACAACATATTATTGAATGACCTGCGGATCGCTAAAGAAATAGGAGAGAAATAGAAAAAAATATCTCTAAAATCTAATGAAAATACAACCTACAAGAATCTTTGGGATATAGCAAAGGCTGTATTATAAAATACATAAATGTAATATAGCATATATAAAAACAGAATCCAATAAATATGTCAACATATAAAGGCTTTATATGCTGAATGGGGAAAATTTAATATTTCCTCTGAAGTTGGGAATGACACAAGAATGTCTGCTCCCTCTACTTTCATTCAATATAGTATTGGGGTTCCTAGCCTGAATAAGGAAAGGGAAAGAAAGAAAAGGTATTCAAATAGGAAAGAAAGGTATCCAATTGTCTATATTTGCAGATGATATAATTCTGTCCATAAAAGACACTATAATTCCACCGAAAAACTCCTAGGTCTGTTAAATACTTACAGCAACATATGAATATAAAACCAACATACAAAATGCAATCATTTTTCTGTATACCAATAATTAACAGAGTGAGAAAGAAATCAATAAAATAATTCCATTCACTGTAAGCTAAAAAAGTTCTAAGTATAATATCAAATAATGAGGTAAAAGACCTCCACAATAAAAAAAGTTTAAGGCCTTTAAGAAACTAAAAATATGAGAAGATAGAAAGACCTCCCATACTCATTACTGGCAGATTATATCATGAAATTGGCCACATAACCAAAAGCAATCTACAGATTTAATATAATGCCCATCAATGTTCAAAAGTCATTCTTACTCCTGGTTATAACCAAAAGCATCATACCTCCTATCCAACTGTGCCTTCTCCTCAGAAATGATAAATATCTGGGAATACTTAATGAACAGCAGTTACAGGAAGAAAGGAAAACTTATATGGCAAAAAAAGTCCTGAATGCTACTTGGGTTTTGGGTAGGTATCATCCACCTTACCCACCTGAAACAATTATCCAAGGATTAGGAACCACTAGACTAGCCAAGCATTCATTTGCCCTGCCACAGATAAGAACTGCCATTTTGAGTCTTAACTCCTATTACCTACATGATGAGCAGGAAATGTTTTCTCTTTTTCTGTTTCTCCCTACTTTAACTGTTTGACTAAAATAAATCCTTGCTAAAACTTTCAAAAACAAGTATCAACCAACACCCAAAACAACAAAAAAAGAGAAAGTATAAAAGATCCAAGTAGCAAAGATCATCCTAAGCAAAATGAGCAGTCACACTTCAAATTATATTACAGTGGCACCATCACAAAAACAACATGACACTGGCAGAAAAACAGATACGAAGACAACCGAACTGAATAGATGCCACAGAAATAAAATCACACAATTACTGCTACTTTATGTTGACAAAGGAGTAAAAAACATACACTGGAAAGAAGATAGCCTTTTCAGCAAACAGTTTTAAGGAAACTGGTAACTGCCATACAGAAGACAAACTACATCTATGGCTTTCCCTCTATAAAAATTGACTCCAAAAGGGTTAATGATGTGATTATAAGACCGCAAACCCTGAACCTACTACAGGGAAACATACAAAAAAACTCTTGAAGATATCCATATGGATATCTAGTAGGACACTAATTGCCCAGCAAATAAGAGCAGGAATTGACTGATCAAACTGAGAAGTTTCTACATACTAACAGAAACAATTACCAAAGAACCAAGAGAATGGGGAGAATCTTCACCAGCTGCTCAACAAAATGAGGATTAATATCCACACTACACAAAGTGCTAAAAAAAAAAAAAAACAGCATAAGAGTAAACATCTCAATCCAACAAATGGGCAAATTGAACAATAAAGTTTTCAGAAAAGGTACAAATGGCCAATAGATGTGTATACAAACATTCAGCATCATTATCCATGAAAAAATGCAAATCAAAACTACACTAAGATTCTATGTCATCTCAATTCAGAATGGCTATCATTAAGAAAACAAACAGCAAATGCTGATGAGGCTATGGGGACAAAGATATACCAGTTGATGGGCAAGTAAACTAGTGTAACTACTACAAAAACTAGTATGGAGGTTCCTCAAAAAATAAATATAGATATATCTAGTGACTCCACCATACTACTATAAATCAGTGTACCAGAAAGGCAGCTGCATACCCATGTATATTGCAGCTGTTTCCAATAGTAAATTGGAAAATCGACCACAGCCCAATCACTAATAACACACATGCATGCACACACACACATACACACACACACACTCACACACACACACACACACACACACACACACACACACACACATATTTAATTTCCCCAACTGGAGAGAAGGAAGGGGACAGTGGGAACACAAAGGAGTTGATACTATTCAAAATACACTATATAATTATATAGAAACATCACAATGAAAGCCTCTTGTGTTACTAATGCATGATAATTCAAAACAAGGAAACATTTTGCTACAAATATTGTTTTTAAATCAAATTTGTAGATAAAGAAAATAAATGATAAATGCTTTCATCATCTGCCTATGGTCAAAAGCTAGTAAGCCAGCATCCATGTCTACACAATCATTAGCATGGTTTCTGTAGTGTAGTGGTTATCACATTCGCCTCACACAATCAAAATTAGAGTTTTCACCGTTAAACTATAATGTATGATGTAGGCATTAAAAAGAGGAGAAATTATACCTGGCTTTAGGATTAGGGAAGTTTTGATGCAGGTGGTGGCATTTTGATAGGAAAGAATGAGGAGGATGGACTTTGAAGCAGGAATTTATATTAACAAAAGCATTACATAAAAAAACAATTAATTTATTCAAGAAACACTTATTGAATATCATTATGTTCTTATATCTTGCTAATGACTTTAAATGTATAATCTCATTAATCTTGTTTAACAGTTTCTAGATTAGAAAAAGAAGTGAAAACTGGAAAAATGGTAAAGTTTATAAAAATTCACACAGCCAGCAGGGCAAGCTGCATTTTAAATGTAATCAGGCTTGATGCTACATCTCAGATATTTTACCATTTGTCAGATGGTCAAAAATAAACCAAAACACCTCCACAAGAATAGTAGCTAAACTGGACTTTATATAGAATATCATGTCCAAAATGTAGAATAGGGTGGAACAGACAGAAAAGAAGTTCACTCTACTAATTTTTGGCAGCTTCTTGGGTAATGTAGAAGAAAGTAAGATGGGAAAGTATATAAACAACTGAAATTGATTCTTCTTGTTTGGGGCCTGTGATGAGGCAGAATGAAATGGCAGGAACATATTAAAGAGCAAAGCTACTCATGTCATGCCACCTGGAAAACAAGGAGAGAAAAGGGGTCCTAATATACCGTTCAAGGGTGCATCCCCAATCACCTAACTGCCTCCAACTTCACAGTCCCCTCTTATAAAGGTTCTACCACCTCCAGTAGCACCACAAGCTGGTAACCAAGTCTTCCACACATGGCCTGTAGAGGATACTGTCTGTGAGATCCAGACTTCAAAACCACTGAGCTTCACAAGCCAGACTTCTGGGATAGACTACCCGTATTGGTCATTTGGAAATTTTACCTCATGATTTTCTTTCATATTCACATACAGATTGTACTGTTAATGCTTTAACTTTTTGACTTAAAATTTTATTTTAAAAATTACATCATTAGCATAAATAAAAACTAGTATTACTTGTGATAAGCAGATGATTTAAAAAAACTGAAAGTGATTTGTGGGTGAGATGAGAGAGAAGAAATGCCTGGTTGTAACACATTATAAATATCTTTCAGTCACTATCACAGAACAGTGGAACATTATTAGTCTTAACTTTTTCTGTTTTGATATTTCTGTTCAATTTGGTTGAGACAACTAATATTTGATGGGTATAATTTAAGGAAGTAAATTTGAAAGAGGATCAAGGGACTTTTTATAATATATGGATATAACTCAGTAATGTGTGCATACCTTAAAACTGTAACCACAACAACCTGTATATCTGTGCTTACTCATTCTTCTGGGGAGTACAGTACTTCATCAAAGTTTGAAAGGATATGAGACCTCCAAAATGGTTAGGAATATTTGCTCTAAGGTATATGCCATTTAATTATTCCTTTTTCATAATTCTCTACTATCTACTAATTGTAAAAATTTCAGAAATTATATAAAATTTCAGAAAGCTTTTAATTTTGTCTCTTCTATGAACTTGCATATCTGTAAGTTTAGTAGAAGTTGTGCATATTCAAATTAGTGGATCTCTGAACATTTACACATACGTACATATACTTTTTAAAATACAAAAATTTAATACTTTTAATTTTTGAAAGAATATTACCAATTAGACTGATGAACTTCATATATAAATGTTTATGCTTTTATGTCTGTGAATACACTTAAATACATTTTTGCATGCAAAGATGAAACTGCCCATAATGGATCATGCCCTGTTTATAGATAATTGGTTCTGTCAGCCCATAAACATTTCTTGATAAGATAATTCTTTCTTAGAATTCAGTGATTAGAAACCTGTTTCTGTGCCCTTTGGTTTTATTTTGTATTTTCAAAACAGTTGAGGTATTTTATATATTCAGTTTAAAAGAATGAATTTTAAGAAAATACCAGTAACGCTTCCCTGATTAACAAACAAAGTAACTTTGCCATTCAGATGTTATTCTGGTAATTATTTCTTTTCTGTTCTCTATGGTATTGACATGTTTGTATTGGGTAAAATAAACTTTTGTTTTTGAGCTTTATAAAAATTAAAATATGCTAAAGATATTCTTTTGAGACTTCTTTTGCTCAATATCATGCCTTAACGTTTATCTACATTAATGATTGACATAGTTATGGTTTTATTTCTTTGTTATGCAGTATGACTTTTAACAGTTCTGCTAGCAGTTGATGGATGTTTGGAGTTAATTCTGATTTGGGGCTGTTCAGAAGAATACTGCTGTTAGAGAAGCAATCAGGTATCCACCTAAATATACTCTTTCCTTCTTT